TGGGGGCAGGTAGCCGGGATAGCTCGGGGCAGCAGCAGCGGCTGCGTAGGGGGATCCATAGATGCCCAAGGCGGCACCCAGCTCCGGGCGCGCGCTGCCCAGCAGCCGGCTATCATAGGGTGCGCAGCAGAGACCCGGCGCCGGGGTGGAGCTTGAGGCCACATCTGTGACCGAGCGCGGGGCGGATTCGCAGCAAGTGGCGTTGGAACTTGCAGATACTAGAAACTAGGGAGGCAAGAAAGGAGGCACCGGAGGTCAGACCGGAGTGGAGAGACAGAAGAACGGAAGGGACTGCCAGGGCTCCTCTGTTCATTCCTTCATTTGCATTAAGTAAACTCCATCCCTACTGAGCTTGAGCATTCTACCTGGTGCTGGGACAGGAATTATCCGAAGACAGTTTAGCCAAATTGCCCTTATAGATGGCGCACCCGCCACTGCTAAGCGTCAGGGTCCCTAGGGGATTGGAATATGGGAACATTCTAAAATCTAAATTAAAGATCCCAAGCCCTCCGCCCGGACCCCAACCTCCACCCCCGTCACAGGACGCTAACTGCAAGGTTAAGTTAGAAGTTGATCTTAGAGACCATGAGCATCAACATTTCATTCCTACTCTCATTTTAGAGACAGAGAATCAAGACCAGAGAGAGTTTAGGATTCTTCCAAGATCACACAGCAGGTCAAAGGTCGACCTTTCACTAGAGGTCAGGGTAAGCAAGGGCGTCCCTTCCAGAAAAGCAAGAAATACATAACTCAAGAAAATATACCTCATACTTTGGACAGGAACTGGGAGTGTTCCCAGAATTTCTCTGGGAAACCCTTGTGGTTGCATAACACCTACCCAGGTTTGGAAAACCATGAAACCAGAGACAGAGAGCTTGACCGTCCAAGGAAGTGTTAGGATAAGGAAGGGGTCAAGAAACGAACAATATGGTGACATGGTCAGTACTCTGGCCAGGATGTCTTTTTTTCCCAAGTCTCTCCCAGCCACCTTAGACATCTGTATGAGGAGGCCTGACATCTGTATGAAGATCCCTGAGATCCCACCCACCTCGCTCAGCGCATGGTCGGAGTGCCCATGTTTTGGGTCGCACAGTTTTCCAGCATGCTCTTGGGGAGTGGAACGTACTCTGTCCTGCACTGGGGGTAGCAGAGGGGGCTGTGGTGCATTATACTGGTTCCGGCTTTCTCCGGCTTCCCGGGAACACGAGGGAGAGGAGGCTCTGGGCCAGGCGCACGGACACCCCTTCCGCCCACTTTGCCCTTCCCATCTCCCTGGGAGGCGCCTCTTACCTGGGAAGCGCCGCTGTAGGGGTGTCCGAAGTGCGGGAAGGACATGGTGGCTGTCTCCGGCCCGCCTCCCTCTTCCCTCACGAGTTC